TTTGTTGCTAGCATTTAAATATATGTTATCTATAAGAAATTGGTTCTCATAAATAGTAATTTGATATTATAATAATATAAACCAGGAACTTTAATAATGACTTCATAATAGTAAAGTTAACAAATGACTAAGAGTATCATAATATAATAGAATTCAAATTCTTCTCATCTAAAATATTTTGACAGATAATATGCATCTCAATATTGTTTCATTGTTTTGTTTTGTTTTGTTATTTTTGAAGAATTAAGAAATGATCATTATCTTGAATTTTCGAAGCATTAGTTATGATACAAAAAGTGGACAATAAATGCATTAAATAAATTATTAGACACATAAATGTTGCAAGTAATCCAAACGAATGTGAAATGTTTTATGATAAACAACTCTAAAATCATTGCAACAACCAAAATGTTCAATGATATGCAAATTATTGCAAATAATAGGTTATGTAGTTCATCTATCGTCCAAATAAATAACATTGAAAAGGGAATGTTTGATTATGATTAAATTATTTTTGAATGATTGAATAAGTTCACTTTTGATAGAATATTTACAATCTTAATTGTGTATTGGGCTCGATCATATGTGAAATTACTTTAGAATACGTACTTTAATGTTATGTGTGATAATTTAAAAAAATAATTTAGCGACTTCGAAGAAGTACATGATTTTGAAAAATTAACTTTTATTCAGAGATTAAATTCGTTTCCACCCCATGGAGTAAGTACCAATTTCTCTATCTTAATTATGTATTGTGCTCGATCATATGTACAATTACTTTATAATACGTATTTTAATGTGATGTGTGATAATTTTAAAAAATAATTTAGCAACTTCGGAGAAGTACATGATTTTGGAAAATCAATTTTTATTTAGAGATTAAATTCATTCTTACCACATGGAGTAAGTACCAATTTGTTATATGGAGAGAGAGAGAGAGAGAGAGAGAGAATAATATAGTATTTTATACAATGATTAAAAAAAATATCAAGACTTTTAATGACACAAGTATCAAGAACTCTAATGATACAGTTGGTTATATGACATAGATATTTATGAACTGTTAGTAAATATACTTTATAATGATCATACAATCATGAAGTTTGACTATATATTTAGCTAAAGTATCTCTAAGTGTTGAAGAAAGCACATGTTTTACCAAATTAATTAAGAAAAAATTAACAATACTATTGATGTATTGGAATACAACGAATATAAATGTTTCTTATGAGAACATCAAATTAGAATGAAAGAAAATCACTCTTGAATCTACATAAATAAATAAAAGAACTCATGCATCTATAATATACATTAGGTCCTTATTTAGTTTTTTTTTTTATTATGGACTCATTTTCATATATTTTTGTTGGGGATGTAATATATTATTTAAATTTTTTTATATTGCGACATCATTATATTATTTTTGAAAAAAAAATAATTAAGAGTTTATTTAATCTACATTTTATTTTTTCTTACTGCAATCATATGTTTAATAAATTAATTAATTATCTTACAAAAATTAATCGGCAAAAAACATTCGTCACCACGTGCATCGCACGTGCACTTTACTAGTATATGAAAAACCAGTAGTAAATGAGATTAACCTATGAATCAGATTCACATAAAAGCTTATTGACACTGATTAATTAGTTAGATATTTTTTTAAGTTAAATTAATCAGTAAGCTATAATCATTAATATGCAGCAAGTGAACAGGAGAATCACATTCCCACTCCCCAATTGATTTTTATTTTATTCCATCAAAGTGGCGAGTCATTTGAAATACCAAAATATTGACTATGTATTTGCTGGATTTTAAACATAATAGGTCACCATAAGAAAACCAGTGACTATGATAACCTGAAAATTTTAAATGTAAGTTAGGGGTAAATTTAGGGCTGCAAACGAGCCGAGCCGAGTCGAGTATTTGCCTTATTGAACAGGATTGAGATAAACAAAAATGTGACAGCTTATTTGTATTATAAGTATCCAAATTTTGTTGAAGAAGTATTATAGTTGACTTGTCAAAATGTTACGCAGTCTAATAGCAACATAAGTGAAACATAATAGGATATCTCAGTAATTATTTAGCTATATAAATGACTTGGATCCTCATTATAAGTACTCATGTAAGTTTAATTTTTAATTAGCACATATCAATGACTGCAAACAATTAACCTCCTTCACATGGTCCTAAATTGAATACTAGCTACAAACTCAATTGAAACTTGACAGTTAAGTCTGTTCCAATCCATGGTAGATATATTCTCTATAAGTAACCTAGGCAAAAGGGCTTGTGCTTTTAAATTTAATTACATAAAACTTTTCCTGTTTATTGATTCAGTTGACTAAAAGATACAAATAAACCTAAAAAAATAAAAAAATAAAATAAAAAGTGATGGGGCATATATTCCTAGGGTTGAGTCGTCATTAGCAAGTGAACAATATCAAGAATAATTACTCTCTTCACTTATGCCATGAAGAGACTGAAAGAAAAAGGCACCCAATACCTAATCTGAAAAGAATCATATCACCTTAACTTTAATAATATAATCTGGTGCCCACATTATATTCAGATTCTTTTTACCCTTCAGTAAAAAAAAAAAAAAAAAACTTTTTTCACACTAGAGATTAAATTCTCTCTGTATATAAGGTCTTAACCCTTTTTCAGATATTCATCAGTTGTGAAAACAAACCTTTCTTACATCTCATTGCATAACTTAGTATTTTAGCATTTGCTACACTAGCTAGGCAATGGGCCTCTTTGCATTAATAGTTGATGATCAGAAATACAAGAAGTCTCCACCAAGGGCTTCAGTCTCACAAGGCCTCAAACAAGAATGTGTGTACCAATATCAATATCAACCTACTCATCTTTGCCAGATGAAGCCCCTTCACACAAACGAGAATACGGCCAACACCTGTGAGGCGGTGCAATTTCTAGATGGGGTCTCGATTTCCAAGAGGAAATCGGTTGCTATGGCTTGTTAATTAATTAGATTTTTCGCTAGTTTTTTTTTTTTTTCAATATATTATATACTTATATATGTACCGTGTGCGGTGTAATTTTGCTTCGACTATGTAGTAGTTAAGCGTGGTCGTCTTGCATGCTCGTGTGATTGTCCTACTAATGTTGGAGTCACTACTTGTATATTTTAGTTCACTATATAATAATAGCTAAGAACTTGTACTACTATATATGTTCATATACGTGTGCATGTGGTGAATTTGATCATATTTGTCTTTTTTTATCTCAATTGTATCAAAAGGGATGGTGATTCTGTTACCTGCAAAAGATGAAAAAGGCTTCATTGTAGAAATTGATAAACATTAGTGTCGGTTTTGAATATCGGAGAACCGATAGATATAATCGCGTGGGATTTTGTTTTCCATATATACGACTAGTAAGATACACGTGTTTTTCCTACTAAGATTGGGATCGGATTAGATTGATTACTGAGACGAACGACGATGTATAGTAGTTTATTTTGTCTCAGTTATTGCACTCTTTTCTTGTTCTCTTTTATTTTCGTCTTATATTATTTATGCATATCATTTAGAAGATCACCACGGTCGTTATGGATAACTAAAATTGTTGTCCAGCAGTAGGATTAATCTAACTTTTGAGACGTAATCAACTTTCTATATTCGCTATTTTCTTTTAATTATATATATTTTGTGATTATTAAGCATTGTTAATGTCTTGATTAACTTATACAAACTGGTCGTTTATTCAAATATTAATGAAATGTATATCATCCGTAATTGTTTAATTATTCTACTAGTGACATACATATATTTATTATTTTATGCTAATTAGGATTGTAAGTCAACATACATATGTTCATTTGTTTGGACTTTGCTAGAATTAGTTGATAGATTGAACTCTACAATTCATTGTTTATTAATTAAATAATTTTTTTAAAGCATGATTATCAAATAAGTAATAAAAAAAAAATATTTTTAACTCTTACCAATAATCATAACCATTTCATTTTTTATAGCCATGATCATCTATGCCATGAACATCAGCCATGTTATCAAATGTACGCATTTCTATAATTTTTAATATTTTTCTGTTTAATTGAATATTTCATTCTTTATATTTCTTAGTTATATAGTTTAACTTTTAATTATACTCTATATACCTGTATCAACTCATTTTCTATACAATTTCTATATTGCTAATATATTTTTATATATTCAACCAACAACAATTTTATTAAACTTGGTTTGTACTTAGCTATCATATATAACAACCTAAAACCTAAAAGGGCAATGCACTTGCCATTGGACAATATATGGAAGGGAGATATACAGTAATTTTAAGGCATTGTAGTGTATTCATTTGAGATGAGTAACATTCTAAAACTCTTTAAATTTAAAGGGTGAATTAATTTAGAATCTCTAAGGTGTTTTTAAGATTTTGAAAATTCTGGAATATTTAACTTAGATTATTAAAACTTCAAAAAGTCTTGAGTTATTCAATTGAAATTTTAGAAAAACTTGAAAATTTATCAACTATTTAACTTATTTAACACTAAAATTATTAGGAATATTCACTAGTGGAAAAAACACTTTTTATATCGGGTGAAATTGACTTTTTATATCGGTTTTCACTTCGATATAGTTTCAACCCATATAATAAGTGTCACCTTTTTATATCAGGCAACACCACATATAGAAAGTAAACTTTTAATATTGAGTGAATGAATCACCCCATCTAGAAAAGACATCTGGAAAGCAGAATTATAAAGTACCCGATATAGAAAATATGCTTTCTATATCCGGTGAATGAGTCACCCCATATAAAAAATGTCTTTTTATATGGGGTGGACTTCGAACCCGATATAGAAAGTAGATTCTACGTGTTGTTTTTAAACCGATATAAAAGATTTTTTACCAATATAATTTTTTTGATATCATACTTTATTACCTGATATAAAAAGTAGATAAATGGTCTTTTTTTCTACACCTGTTTAATTGAAACCACATGTACCATCAATATAACTAAATAGATAAAAATAAAATAAATTTACTAAAATTAGTTCATTATCAATAATACAACGGAGTTTAACATTTCTAAAAAAAGCTAACAATACTACCAAATTCAAATAGTTCAACATAAATCAAATATTCCAAACAAAAACCGATATAGTCTACTACTTTGCCAATGAGGTGACTAGAGAAAATACTCGGGTCCACCGTCTCTGTATATCATCAATTTTTTCTTCCAAGTGTGTTTCTTCCAAATCCAACACCTAATTGAAAAACCATAAATAATAATAAATCAAGACTAAAAGAACATAATTAATACTTACTATATATAAGATAATATAATCTCGATATCTAATGAGTTTTATTATTATTATCCAAAATTACCTTTTCAAATCCGTCAACAACGTCGAGTTTTATGACTTCCAGCATATATCTCATAACATAATACCCGCATTCTTCACCTCCTTTTTGTCGGTGACATATAAATAAAATAAAAAAAAAAATAGTTTCATAATTACCAAATGAAACCAAGAGATAATGCACTAGTACCATCATACACAAACAGAGAGGAGTCATACTGACTTTATTTGAGAAATTCATGTACCTTTGGATAAACCCATGTCGGCTTCTTCATTTTCTGAGTATGGAGTCCCTTCATGACTTTGCATCTTCTTCATTTTCTGAGTATGGAGTCCCTTCATGACTTTGCATGCTCTAAGTGCCCTGACACGATTATTTTAAAATTAGTGAAGACAAAATATCAAATGTAAATTATGTGAAAAGAAAATGTTGAATACTAATTTCAAACGTACATGTTGATTTTGTCCATCAAATCCATCTTAGGCTTTTTCGATAAGGAACAGAACCAAGCCGTACTGGACGAGACAGCGGTCCAAGGCAGGGGGAAGGAATGATAAGCTAGCACGATGAGGACCGCACTATTTTTCGGGTTAATAACAATTAGTTGCCAATGATCCCTGAAATTCCACAAAATAAGATATGCAATTTTATTATTTCTTTCTTAAGTCGTCCATCCTGCGAGTCAAAAAGTATAGTGTATCAACAAGTGAATCAATAGCCAATGTAATCAACAACAATAGACACACATGTGCTGACCAGAGGCAACATCAAGTATCAAAATTATAAGATAAATGCAACACAAATGGTCTGCACTGAGATGGACTTACAACACCACTGGTGCAACAGTCAAGAACTTCCTGTTTCGAGTGAGCTGCTTGCCGTTGTCTACCTGCACCCACCAAGTCAATCTATTGTAAATACCCTGATCATCTGCAAAAGGCGTGTCTTTCTTCCAATAAAAGAAGTGATATGTGACCTGAGCATAAAAAAGGAAATCCACCATTTGATACGTAAAGTACCTCTAAGAAAAGCACTATAACCCCTAGAGAAAAAAAAATAAGAAAGCAAGTGAAATTAAAAGCTTTCTGGTGCATTGTGGTGTGATTATAAATTAATAACCAAACAATGTGCACAACCCCACTGCATAAAAATATGATACAACATAATGAAACCCAAGCCAAAGTTTAACTGCGAACGACCATCAAATCTCTACAATCATTTCTTCTTATTCAGACAGACTCTTGTGCTAAGTAAATTTGCATGTTATTCATGTAACTATTGGGTGTATGAAGGAAAAGGAAACTTTAACAGATGGAGTAACATTTTATTTACAAATTTCAGATAAGATATCATGGTATTTTAGGTAAGCTCTCCCATTCAACGCATCAGTACCAATATGTATTCTGATGTAAAATGAAATAAGGATTCTTGCAGATTAGGTTAAGTAGAGCAATTTCAAATTGCAATATGCAACAAGCTCAGATCCCCCTGATACACTGAAAGAGGTGTTGTTCAACAATGAATTGAAAAGAAAAAATAATGTCAGCATCACCCAGTAGTAGACTAAAGAGAGTCCAAAATGCAAACCCAGTTGCTCCTCCAGAGCCGAAGTAGTATCAAGCAAGTATGAATCGGATAGGAAGCTGACACAATTTCGAACCGTTTTCCACAATTGCAACCTCTTCTACTAAAATCAATAATCAGAAATAATTATAACAAATAAACAACTCCTACCATCAAGTCATGCAAAGCTACATGGTTTTATGTAAAATTGAAAAGACCAATAAATTTTGCAACTGTATTTGAATATCAACTGGGAGTTGTATAATTGAGAGTAGAAAAACGTTGGGAGTTGGTATTATGAATCTTTGCAGGATCATCAAGTTATTCAAAACGAGTAAAAGCTAATGATTTTGATACTTCAAGTAAGCTGATTTGGTTTGTTGTACCTAATGAACACCCACATGCAAATGACTGATCGTGACTATTTGCAGTTTGCCAGTTCCTCTGTTTATTGACTGTTTCTCATTCTTATGGAATTTCACTTTCTTCAGAAAACAAATAAAAAAGGAAAAAACAAAGAGATAGAAATATTTATACTGTTTTAAGATTCTTATTGCCTTATCACTAGTACACTTTGATATTTGGTAGATTTAGTTGAAAAATTATGCAATATTGATAAGTTTTTCTTTTCTTTTTTTCTTTTTGGATATGTCTAAATTATTTGATAGTTGATAGAGTAGTTTTTGATTTTATAGCTAAAAAAAATAAAATCTTTTTCCAAAAGTAACTTAATTATAAATATAAATTAAGCAACGGTGATGAATTTAGATCATGATGTAGGTTGATGAAACCAAGAATTTGCTTAAACAATTTTAAATGGACTTCAGACACTTTTCAAATAACAACTACAAAATTTTAAAAATCAAAACATGACGTTAGAACCATCTGAACCTGCCTATTGTTATACTTCCTCCTTTTATTCAAGTTTATTAAGTTTGAAAATGTCACTTGCATTCGCCACTTTCCAACTAATAAATCTATAATATAGAATTTGTCTATATTATTATCGAGTAAATTCTAGTTAATAAGGCTCTTGTAACTACTTAGTGTTAACATAAGGACTCTATGATAAGGTTGCACAACTTTGGCAGAAAAGACTAAGATGGTTATATTGAAATTAAAAAATAGAACAAAATAGAATAAAAACAATCTTAATTTAGCAATGAAAGGCTCTTGTAAGACATATAGATACCATGATAAGTTTGCACAAATGTAGGAAATAGTCTAAGTTGGTTATATTAGAAATCAAAAGAAAATACAACAAAATTAAAATTGTGGCAATTTCTCAATGAATTCAAACCCAAGTCACCAATGATTGTAGACCAATCACAGCATATCTATCACATCTTTATGGACAAAGAATAACAAATATTTTCATCATAACAACAAATGACCATCAAATTTAGCCGAAACCCAAAGCAGTGATAATCGAAGAAACTTAAAGAATTCAAGCTTAGGTCGCCAATGATTCTAGGTCAATCACAACTATATCATATTTTTTTGGACAAGAAAACTATTTTCATCAAAACAGATTAGACAAATGACCCTCAAATTTAGCAGAAACCCAAATCGGTGATCATCAATGAACCCGCTACATCGGAGTCATGTCTGATTATTGAATATCACAATCATTTTGGAACTTAGAGCTAAAGTAAAAAGCTGTTCTACCCAAAAACATGACCCAAATTTTACAGAGAACACTAGAAAGAGCATTGCTCATGGCAAACCCAAGATCGGTGAACAAAAACATTTATTCCAAAAGCAGAATTTATCAAGTTAATCAAACAACACTTCATCCGATCTAAAATTTTAAATAGCTTTATTATGATGCCATTTTTCGCTACAACTATCACCATATGAATGAAAGCTAGAGAAGATAAATCACAAACCTTTCCATTGACTCAAGTTCAGGAAGAACAATAGTGTAAAATGTAATTTTATTGAATCTTGCTATCTTGTCGATAACTCGATACTAAAGCTATACCAAGCCGAAGGAAACACACATACACATCTAAGCAAATTAAGTCACCAAACAGTAGCAGAACTAGACATGGTCCAGAACTCATGAAACAATAAAACCAACTAGACATCACCAGAATTCATGAAATAATAAAACCATTCACATAATATAATAACTTGTAACTGACAACATGTGTCCATATAGTAACTTCAAAATATTATGAAAATTGTATTAATTTGGTGAAATAACTAGGCACACAACAAAAACAATTTTGAAAAAAATTAATGTATGCAGAGAACTGAGACAGTAGGGCAACTCACGAAGGATGTCTGGTGTGTCGGCAGTGCCGGTGGCGGAGGCAAAATGTGTTCAACGGAGGCAGGGACTAGAAATTCACGACGGAAGGAAACAGGGGCTAGAACTTCACGGCGAACGGAATTGGGGGCTAGAACTTCACGACCGACGGAAGCGAGGGCTGGAACCGAACGCGTACACGGCGCGCGGAGGCGAGGCTACAAAGACGGGCAGCGGCTGGAAATTCACGACAGAGGAAAGCGGGAACTTCACGGCAGACAGATGAAATTGAAGGCTGGAATCGAATAGGTTCACGATGCACGGAGTAGAGGTGGGGCTAGAAAGACGGAGGAGGGAGTTGGAATTTCACGGCGGGCGAAAGGGGGAGGTCGGGCTGGAAAGACGAAGCCAATTTGTTCACGGTGCGCAGGGAGGTCGGGAGGGAAAGTGAACAGTCACTTTGTGGTGATGAATTACTTTGTGTAAATATGATTTGTACGTAGACGTGTCCACGGGTCGAACCGGCCCGGACCGAACCCGGCCCGGCCCGAACCGGACCCGGCCCGGAGAAGCCGGTTTTCAAACCGGAACCGGACATCTAAAGGGCCGGTCCCGGGCCTTTTCGGTAAAAAAAAAACCCGGCGGGCCGGGCCCCGGTCCGGGCCGGTCTCACTCCACACACCTCACTCACTATCTTCATCTATCTCTCCCAAACTCCCACACTCTCTCAATCTCTCTAATCTCTCCATTACTCCATAATAATATCTCTCCCTAATCTCTCTCCCACTTTAATTAAAAAAAAATATATATCTACTTAATTTTTAATATAAATTTTACCTAATCTCTCTTCCTCTCCCTAATCTCTCTTCCTCTCCCTAATCTCTCTTCCTTTTTGTTTTTCTGTTGTATATTATTTTTTAAATTCAAAATGTCGAGCTTTTTTGGTCGTGGCTGTGGTTCGAAGTCCGGGCCCTCCGGGCAAAAGCGGCAACGGCAAGGCGCATCGTCGTCGACACCTCCATTGCCCTCATTTGCGAATCCAACGATACATGTAGATGTCCCGGGCGTGACCGACGATATAGATGCCGCCACAATCGATCAAATGTTCGATTTCGTTCAGCCTCCACCCTCAGTCCAACCGGCAACGGGTGTACACGAGGTGGGCCCAGAGCAGCCGTACGAGGACCATCTCGACGATCTATTTGGAAGTACTCTTCCGGATGAGCAGCCACAACAACCCACAAAAGCCGGTCCGAGTTGTCGGGGGCGGTAAAGTCAAAACTCGGGATTCCGTCATGTTCGACCGACATTACACGAAGGCTCCAAATGAAAAGAAAGGAGGTGATCCTTATTTTCTGGCTATTTGCAACTACTGCCCGGCCAATTCGAAGACGAAGTATCAGTTCAAAAAAGGCGACGAGTACGGAACGTTGACCCGACATTTGAAGAATGTTCATCCGACAGTAATGGGAGTCGACACGGCACAGACGCAATTCCCAAGTAGCAGCGGAGCATCCGTCTCAGCCACTCAAGGTGCAGGTACGTCTTCTTCGTTATTTCATTATTCTCATGAAAATCATAGACGTCATTTAGCTGAATTTGTTTCTGCTTCGTCTCTTCCTTATAGTTTTGGTGATAGTGATTTATATGAAAATTTTGCTCAAATGGCTTTAATCCGTCTGCCAACCGAGTTCCTCGTACCACCCTTACTCGCGATATTCGAAAAATCGTGAGTGAGAAGAAACTAATTTTAAAAGAAAATTTTAAATCTTTAAATCATAGAGTATCCATTTGTGCTGATATATGGTCCGATCATTGGATAAATAATTTTTATTTAGGGATTACTTGTCATTGGGTTGACGATAGTTGGACTTTACAAAAACGTTTAATCGGTTATGTTGCATTTCATGAACGACACACTGCTTCTAATATTTCTCGTTTAATTTCAAAAATCTTAGATAATTATAGTATTGGTAAAAAAAAGTATTTTCAATTTCATTTGATAATGCGACTGCAAATACTGCATCTATACGTGAATTAAATGATGTTTGTACACCAATCTGTGGGGGTAGATTTTTTCATATTCGTTGTATATGTCATGTTTTAAATTTGTGTGTTCAAGCTGGTTATCATGTTTTTAAGGATTCTGTAAAGCCAATAAGGGAGGCCGTCAATTATTTGCATAAACGTCCCCAAGAAATGAAAGCATGGGGACGATTTTGTAAGAGTGTTGGAATTAAACCTAAAAAATTCCAGCCAGACGTGCCTACCCGGTGGAATTCAACATTTAAAATGTTGAATGTCACCGCTGATTATGCCAAGCATTTACAGGATTTTTTTAATGATACAAACCGTAGGGATTGTGATGTTCGACTTTCGGTGAATGATTGGGCAAACTGTTCGCAACTTACAAATTTTTTAGAAACATTTCAAAACGCTAATATTCTTTCTGGTGTTTACTATCCTACTGCTCAACTTGTGGTCAGTCAATGTATAGCTATAATGTGGGGTTTTAAAGATATTTATGACTTAGATCCTTTTAAATATTATGGTCTAGTAGAAAATATGTTAGAAAAATGGCTAAAATATTATTACTATATTCCCGATACATTTTTAATTGCATGTCTGTTAGATCCTACAGTTCGTGAGCAAGGTTTGTTAAATCAACTTAATATGTACTATGATTATATGTATCAATTGCCACTGCCGAGTGGGGTCCCGACTTACAGGGACAAACCTAACATACCGCAGCTCGTCGAGCAAGCAAAAAATTCGTTGTATGACATGTTCAAGGAAACAGCGATCGCACATGGAGAGTCTCCCAGCACATTTGTTCGTAGCAGCGGCGCAAGCGGCAGCGGGTCTTCATCTTCGTACGGAGGGCAAAGCGGCAATACAAACTTCGGAAACTTCAAAGTGCTTTGGGATTCATTAAATCCCTACAAAAACTCGGGCGGTCAAAGGGTGCAGGGGACTGGATACTATGAGCTGGATCACTACCTTACGTCGAATTTAGCCGTTACGATTGCACGTCCACCTCAACCGCCACTCAATTTCGATGTGTTAGATTGGTGGTCAAGAATGGGAGGAATTTTTCCTATTCCATGCATTATGGCCAAGGAGATCTTTGCTGTCCCAGCATCTACAGTCGCGGTTGAGCAAGCATTCAGTGAGGGCGGCTACATGCTAGATCCACGACGGTCGAGGATGACGCCTGATAATCTTCAAGCACAAATGTTACTGAGTGATTGGAAGAAGGCCGAACGAAGGATGCAAACTGCTATGCTCACTTCGAATGAGGAGGAGGACGACAACGACGATGCATCCGATTTTACGTCGTCGACAAGTGGAACCGGGGGGGACGTCGAAGACGAATACGAATATTAAAGGTATGCAGCCAAGGTATGTGATTTAGAAGAACTACGTGGACTTTGATTCCCAAATAAAGGGATACGTAGGCACCTTATTTAACATTATTAAGTTCGAGTATAATTTTTTGGCAACAAAATTTTTCATCGTACACGATATTCGAACTTAATAACTGTTAACTAAGCTCAAGTCCATTACATTAATAATTTTTTTCTTTACACTTATTCGACTTCATTTGACGTACAATTTAGCATTTCTAAACTACCTCAAGTTGTACTTCTCCGCCATACTCAATAAAATACAACACCGTTAACCGTTTGGTTCCAAGAATTGACGCCCGATCATTATTTTTGTTTCATTTTGAAATGATATAGACAAACAGACTCAAAAACTTATATTTTCGAAGTATATACAAACTATTTATTCAAATAAACATTAATATACATTAAAATAACAAAAAAAGTAAAAAAAAAATTAATAAACCCGCAAACCCGCCGGGCCCGACCCGGAACCGACTCGACCCGCCGGGTTTGCGACCCGGCGGTTAAGGGCCGGTTCACTGAACCGGCCCTTAGTTACAAGCGGGCCGGGCCCGGTTCACTACACGGTGAACCGCCGACCCGGCGGGCCGGGCCGGGTCGAAACCCGGCCCGGCAAATGGACACGTCTATTTGTACGTATATGATTTATTTACTGTATGTGGTGAGTACAAAGTGCATATAGATAATTTACATTTTATATGTGGTGAAGAATGACCCTATGTTAATTTTGATGGGCCTTCAGTTTCTATATGTGGTTACTAGAACTACATACACATAACAATAATTTTATTACAAAAATGCCACCGTCCTACTTTCCGCATCGAGTATGTGATAATCGATATAAAAAGTGACATCTAGATTAATCTTTAAAAGTTGCTCAAATTTCAAACACAAATTACACATGAGACACCACCAAATCTCACATTTGGACTTGAGATTTTAAGAATTTCAGTAGAATCAACAAATCTTAAAAAGACTTTAACTGAAAAAAGTTTTAAAATATAATGTTACTTAATATCTCAAATGAATTGAATACACCCTAATACTTTAGAGGAATCCTTAGAAATCTTATACATGGGGGTAGAGTTTGGCGTGAGATCTCGTGTTAGTTTGTGACATCTCAGCAAGTTGTACAAAATCCAAACAAATCCAATGATAAATAAAATAATTCATGAATTTTTAAAATTTTTAAATCTCAAATGCATACCTCAATACTCTTGAAATGTTCAAAAAGTCAAAGTTGAAAATATCAAGATTTTTACGATCATAAAAAATCTCAGAAAGTTCTTAGAATTCCGAATGAATACCTCCGGCCTTAAATGCAACTGAATAGAATACATGGATTTTTATAAAGAACATTATTAGTAAAATAACAAACTGAATGAAACATTATTAGTAATTACCAGTTACTTTGGTGATATCTCACCTCAAGTCCTAGAAAACAGTTTGACAATCAAAGAAAACAATCTATTCAAGGAAGGTTCGACCCCATTATGTGGGAACTGCCCCATCGGGGTTTCAAAATTTAACTCACATCAATTTATCCATAACGAGTTCTATAACTAAAATGACAAGCAGCTATTTATAGTAAGCTTAAAGGAACCTCTTAAACAACCTTAAACTCACCCACCTAAAAACATTAAATCATACACGTCCATCGAGTTATATCATTCTATATATATAGCCTCCNAACAAAATCTCAAACTATTTGGGTTCTTGAAGAGCATATACATGAACAATGTGAATAATGCGCGAGTCGAAGGGGTAAACTTGATCGACAGCATGGGATTCCACATGCACATAACCGAGAGCAGCCGCGTAACGATCGACGGAATAAAAATAAGAGCGCCCGGAAATAGCCCGAACACGGACGGCATCCACATCAGCAAATCGGACGCCGTGACCGTTTCGAAAAGCGTGATTCAAACGGGCGACGACTGCATTTCCATCGGCCAGGGCTTGACCGACCTCACAGTCAACGGGGTCACCTGTGGGCCCAGGCACGGAATTAGGATTTTTTTGTTCTTTTAATTTTTTGTGTTTTTATTTTTAATTATTATCTTAGCTTAGTAACCGTGGTTGCATCGAGCTCGTGTTAGGCGCCCGAAGAATGGAAGCTCGAAACAGATGATGTTGTAATGAAATGGGCCGATTCATTTATCTTAGCTCAGTAACCATAGTTGTTCAAGCCCGATTCATTTAAGAAAACAAATAGGCCGAGCTTGAGATTTAATGAGCATAACATAGTTGTGTTGGCAAATAACTCAGTTCAAATAATAATTTTATGGTTGATTCACAATTTTCTAGATGATTATTTATTTATCTTTTACTTGCACAATTATAATGCTGCAAAATTTTGTTTTTCTTTCTTCTTGTTGGATAATTGGTGTTTACTAGCTTGAGGCTGAGATCTGAGAAATAAAAGCAAAAAGACGATCATAGACTAACAATTCAAATGTTAACTCTTAATTTGCTAAAAACGTTATTCAATATAGACATATACTATGTTATAATTTAGTGTACTATTTTTGGTGTAGTTCGGTTAAAACCGAACACAATATTCACAATATAGAACCGCACCGCAACTCCTGCGGTTCGAAAAACCGAACCGCACAAATAACCAACCTACTTCAAAACCGAATTCGGCTCGATTTTTAAGTTTCGGCGGGGTATGCTCACCCCTACAAATACACAAAATTTATAATATTTCCTCTAGAAAATATTATTGTTCACATTTTCACAAAGGCTGATTTCTCATTTTTCTTTTAGATCTCATTTTTCCATTGTTTCCTATCTGCAGTTTTTCACAATCTGCTCATTGTTAGCTTCTAGAAGTCACTTAATAGGGAAAACAAAAGAATCTCAGGAAAAAAAGGTAAAAAAAATAATGAATTCGAGCTATGGAAAACCGAACAGCAAGACCGACGCCTTCGATTTCGATCTCGGGCCGCGCCGGACCTCTGAATGGCAAGAAGGACCCGACGGCGTCTTCTTATTCATCGGCGGCGTACACCCAACAGAAGCCGAGCTCGGCACCGTCGTGGGGCCACCAGCCCAACACGCCGGCATGGACCCACCAGCCGGCGGTCCCGATCCAGTCACCCGGGCTGGGATCTTTATCCGGCCCGACCTCCATGGTGGGGGATGATTTCGGGAAGAGCTGGAATTCACCAGCACCGTCGAGCTCCTGCGTGTCGGGTATTGGGATTGTGAACAATAAGAACCCTAATTTGTTTGGAGATCTGCTTGGCGCGGCAATTGGGCAGAATAAGAGTAGCAACTATGCGTCGCTGAAAAGCTCGGCCAATGTTGCAGGCAAGAACACATTCCAAATGGGGTCTATGGCCAATTCATTGCCAAAAACTGGCGATTCAGGTAATTATGCCAAAACTTGGGGAGCGAGTGTCGTTAGAGCATCTACAATGCATTGAGTCTAGTCTTGTCTATAAACTCAAGTCTAGGATGACATGGATAAAAGTATGTAAAATTGATAAAATTCATTCCAATGCAAGGAGACTAGGACTCTACTTGGGTCTAAGAGCATCCACAATGCTTTGGGTCTTTTAACAAAAAAACACATGCCACATAGGAAATAGACTTAGTCCATAAAAAAATACTTCCCAATGCAATTAAAAGTAGACATGGTCTAGCTTATGTGGCAATGAAAAAAAGAGACCAAGTCCACACTTGGGTCTATTTTGGACCCAAGTACAAACCCAAACACTCATCATTTGTTCTTAATTTAATTTTTTTTTAATGAATAAAACATATTAGAGTATTTCTATTGGTTGGCATGTATGATAGACCTAGTCTTTTTATTTTTGCATTGCAAAGTTTTTGAGTTTTTTTACTTGGGTTTGTCCATGTCATTTAAAACTCAAGTCCAATTATATGCCACATATACAAAAATAGACCCAAAGCATTGTCGATGCTCTAAGAGCATCGACAATGCTTTGGGTCTCTTAACAAAAAATCACATGCCACATGAAAAATAGACTTAGTCTATAAAAAAATACTTCCCAATGCAATTAAAAGTGGACATGGTTTAACTTATGTGGCAATGAAAAAAAGAGACTAAGTCCACACTTGGGTCTATTTTGGACCCAAGTACAAACCCAAGCACTCATCATTTGTTCTTAATTTAATTTTTTTTTTTAATGAATAAAACATATTAGAGCATTTCTATTGGTTGGCATGTATGCTAGACTTAGTCTTTTTATTTCTGTACAAAATTTTTGAGTTTTTTTACTTGGGTTTGTCCATGTCATTTAAAACAGAGACCCAAAGCATTGTGGGTGCTCTAATAAAATAAACTTAAGGATAGATCGGGTCTCTTTTTCTGGCTGCCACATCAGCAGGACCCAGTCTACTTTTGTTTGCATTGGAGAATACATTTTTTTAGACTAGGTATATTTCTTATGTGGCATACAATTTTTTGTGATTGAACCAAAGCAGTGGATGCTCTAATATGGGTGGGAATTATAACAAAAGTTCAAGTCTTGGCGACACTATGAATAAAGATCCATTTGGGTCGTTGCTCAAGTCCAAACCCTCTGTTGGCATGAGTTCAGCTAGTAAAGCTAGCACAAGTGATGCTTTTGGGGATTTTCAAAGTACGACTTCAAAAGCAAGTAAATCTTCATTTCAATCTTTTCCTGCAAGCAACAATGATCCACTGAGTATAGCCAGTTTGCAGATGCTATAAAGTGGTTTTCGTGGGCTGTTATTCTGCTCGAGAAGGCTAGTGATGATGAAGGGACTATGGAAGTCTTGACCAGTCGAGCATCGTGCTATAAGGAAGTTGGGGAGTATAAGAAGGCCGTTGCTGACTGTACCAAGGTAAAACTCATTTGTTATTTTACGCTTCATTTTTTCTGTTCGGATGTGTAATTTTGTGAGTCATTGTCATGTAATGGAACTTCACAATCATATGAGGCTGGAAATTCTATAGTTCTTTTGTTTTCACAACACGAATGTCATTACATTCAGAAAAAAAAATAATAATAAAAAAATAAATATTTTCAACATATTCGATTGAGTTTGATGAGTCGAATTATCCCGTGCAGGTGCTGGAATGCGATGGTAAGAACGTGGTCGTATTAGTACAATGCTCTCCTTTATGAAAGCATGGAAAAGTACAAGCTTGGAGCTGAAGATCTCAGAACTGTTATGAATATCGACCCGGTAATAGAGTTGCACGGAGCACCATTCATCGCCTGAATAAGATGGCTGGATGATAAATGGTCCAAAATAATTTTTTTTTTTTTTTTTCCATGTCTCTACACAAATGTGTGCTTGAAAACATAATTTTATCCATCCTGGATTGTGTTTTTGCTTGATATTTTATTTTTCTTTTGTAGTCTTTGTGCTTTACATGCACAAGACATCACTTTACAGAGAGTGTGGGGATATTTATATATGATTTTCTCCATTTTGTTCTTTAGAAAGTGTTGATGACATTTTTGGTTTCATTTTCAGTCCCTTGTGTGGGAGTTTGTATTCTCACCATCTTTTGGTTATTGGCTTATTGCTATGGAAATCTCGATTGTATTT